GCTGATAAAGAATATACATACTTTGTGGGGTCTGCTACGCCTCCTTCTCCCTGTTACATACATTGGCACAAGAATACCCTTTCACCCTCTGAGTACACGGTATAAAAAGTTTTAGACATCCAATGCAATGGAGAAGTCGACTCATGCAAAAAAATAACTAAAATCACAAAACTTCACAGAAGTTCGTAAAATAATGAGAAAAGAAAACAATACACTAAAGTAAACTGTTCTGATTATAATAACTGTCGCATCGATAACGATTCCAGAATATATTATGATCGGTTACGAGAATGCACATGTACGCCCATACGTGCCACTGCTTCTCAGATGTCGCAATTGCCTTAAATTTTGACACCCCACCACCACTTGTAAACAGCTTGCAGCAACTGTACAGCAGAACACCACACCCCTGAAAACGCAATTGGCAACAAAGAGAAATCCTGCATCAACTGCAAGTACGACACACAAAATATCCATAACCTCATGGATAAATCTTGCCCCACTTTCATCAAGCAGAAAGAAATTCCAAGTTACAAAACAATAGAAAATGTTGACCATAAAACTGCACTAAAAACGTACCACAACCGACATGCTCACCAAACTACATCATACTCAAAAATAGCCCAAGACCACAAAATACTACATCATCTTCAACTAATACACCTACATCACAGAGACAGAGCACAAATCAAGCACAATTCAACTATAACAAGGCACAAAATCAAAACCTTACCCTACCATCGCCAGCGAGACACCACGTACGACGATCCCATTGACACCATGGACATCACCACAGGAAGAAGCCAAACCATTCTCTACTCAACTTACTGACGACCTCAAGCTAAGGATTTACAAAGCAACAAACAAAACACCCTGGCCAAACCCCTTAAATCGGAAGACAAAAACGAACATAAGCATAAAAACAACGCGTAACCCCTCCAAACAACAACAAATATAAACTTCCCATTATAATATGCTAAAGATTCTCGAGTGGAACCTAAACGGCTATGTACAAGGTATGTTCCAAAGCAAACAGGAAGACTTTAAAAAAAAACAGGACAAATGGGTTTCTTTCAATTCAATTTCAATTTATTTTATTCAAAATAGTCTCCTTCTGTCCTTCTGTCGTCGAACGAGTGTTTTAGCTCGTTGGCCGGTATGGCCGCCAGTATGCCGGTGCCAGCCTTTTGAATAGCCTCTACGTCTGCATAACGCTTTCTTTTCATGGGCATATGCATTTTTCCGAAAAGGAAGAAGTCGCACGGTACCATATCAGGTGGATACGGCTGGTGGTTAATGGTTAAAATGTGATTTTTGGTCAAATAATCGGTCACAAGCGTCGATCGATGAGAGCAATTTTTGGTCGTCAGTCAATTTTGTGCGGAACAAACCATGCACACACCTTTCGTAAGCCCAATGGTTCGGTCCAAATGCGATAGATCGATGTTTTGGAGATGTTCAATTCCATTTCCATCAATTTCAATGATGATTTCAGCTGATTTTTGCTGAATTCACGCACAGTTTCGATGGAATTTTCGGTGATCACGAATTTTGATTGGTCCACATGCTGATCGTCATTTATGTCCTCACGACCACTTTGAAAACGTTGAAACCACTCGTGCACTCTACTACGGGATAGGCAATCATCCATTGTTCCATCAATTGAAACGTTTCGGTAATTACAAATTTTAAAACAAAATTTAATGTTGTCTCTTTGTTCGAAGCTCATTTTCGCACCGATAACACAAACATACTGACACTTAAAACGCAATAACTTCACTTCCAATCGATGAAATGTCATGAAATTCTCACTGGACAATCGATAAAAATATCAGATTCTAAAGCACCAGTCGACATATAGATAGCGTCACCAGGGGGCGCTAGATTCAAAAAGTCCTGTTTACTTTGGAACGCACCTTGTAAATAACTACAGTCTCCCTACAAGAAACCCACTTCAACACTGTTCATAGCATACCTATCCCAATCAATTACTACTGAGGGGATTATGTCATTTCCTATCAGGATTTTGGCGTGATCAAAACATTAATCTGGCCATTGGTTGATTTCTCTCATGCGAAGGGCCGCCAGCGTGGCCTTCATTTTCTCCATGAGATGTATTGGGAGTATTCGCATCGCATATATCGCATCTAGTGAGTCACCCAAAGTGCACCCGGAATCGATAGTACAGCCTGCCGTTGAACTTTATTTAGTCTCTGAATAGAGGAATTTTTTGTCAGTGATGGCCTCCATATAGAGACTCCATCCATTTGGTCACATTTGTTTACCGCAGCTTTCAGGTGTGGTCGAAAATTGAGACCCTTGTCTATTGTGATGCCACGGTATTTTGCTTGTGCTGGTTGTTCCAGGATTACTCCTTCAAGCTGAATAGGAGGCGTGTAGGTAATTCTTGACCTTTAAATTTAAGTGTATTTAGATAACTCTGTAGTCCATCTGCTGCTTCTCGGTGATTTTTCGAGATATAAAGAACCGCAATGTCGTCCGCATATGTTGCAATTAAAGCCTTGGGTAATATGGGTAATCCATATGTTCTTCATTGGGTCTGGGCAGATGAGCAATATATAGCGAGTAGAGCAGCGGGCCAAGCAAGCTGCTTTGCGAAACATGAGCCCTATCTGGCAGGGGGCTGAGGGGGGCTGCCTTCCATCCAAGCATGATCATAGGAGACCGTAATAGGCCGCGGGTGGAATTTTTTAATCTTGCACAGAAGACCGTAGTGCCAAACCCTGTCAAGCGCTTGCTGCATATCAATAAATACTGCATTGCAGTACTCAAGCTTGTCAAAGGCCTGAAAGATGTGCAACGTCAATATGTGAACCTGTGCTACGGTTACATGTCCCACTTTTCCCGATTTTCCATTCGTATAATCGCGTATATCTCGGAGACTATAAGACCTACGGACATCAAATTAGTCCAAGATGCCTCATGTGAATACGCAGAAAATGTGTATTTTGGAATTTCCCTCCCTCCCCCCTCTCCCAAGCAAACCGCAATTTTCTCTAACTCCCGTAATTCTTGGAATTTTGAACTAAAATTTTGAAAATACCCCAGTTAGTGATTATGTGTCCGTATGCCAAGTTTCATCATGATAGACCGATTTAACAGGAAGTTATAGCCATAAATATATTTGCTGCTGCAGCGCTGCTCAAGCGCTACCCGCGGCTGTTGTTGATGTTGCTGTTTGGTTGACTGCGAACATGCTTACACAGAGACGAATATACGAGCATAAACATACATACACTCATATAGACGCAATTGCTTTGTATATGTGCAATTATACACCCTTTACGTGAGTTCGAATACCAAAATAGGTAAAATCGATCAAAATATTTTTTTATACTCTGTACATGAAATGTACAGAAGTATATTAGGTTTGCGGGAGCTGAAAAATGTAACAGGCAGAAGGAGGCGTGGCAGACCCCATAAAGTATATATATTCTTGATCAGCATGACGAGACGGGACGATCTAGCCCTGTCTGTCCGTTTGTCCGTCCGTATGAACACCTGGATGTCAGAGACTATAAGAGATAGAGACACCAAATTTTGCATAAAGATGCCTTATGGGGGTTTTCCCGATTTTCCATTCGTATAATCGCCTATATCCCGGAGACTATAAGACCTAGGAACACCACATTTTTTTGCAAATACCCCCAGTTGGTTATTATGTGTCCGTATGCCAAGTTTCACTATGATAGACCGATTTAACGAGAAGTTATAGCCATAAATATATTTGCTGTTGCAGCGCTGCCCGCGGCTGTTGTTGATGCTGGTGCTTTGGTTGACTGCACACATGCTTACACAGACACGAATTGATGCGCATAGGCATACATACACTCACACAGACGCAATTGCTATATAAGTGTGCAATTATACACCATTTACGTGAGTTCAAATACCGAGAGTGGTAAAATCGATCAAATTTTTATAGCCTGTACCCAAAGGGTGAAAGGCTATACTAGGAGGCGTGGCAGACCCCACAAAGTATATATATTATTGATCAGGATGAGAAGACGAGTCGATATAGCCATGTCCGTCTGTCTGTCCGTCTGTCTGTATGAGCGCAAGGATCTCAGTAAGTACAAGAGCTAGGATAACCAAAATTGGTATCAAGGTTCCTATAAGCCCTAGGCAGAACGAGTTTGTTTATTTTTTTCTGATACACCCCCCCACTCCCCCGCAATTCGTATTTTTCTTATAACTTTCGGAATTTTAAAATCAATTTTGGTAGGTACATCCAGTTAGTACTAAAGTGTCCGTGTGCCAAATTTCATCATGATAGGTCAATTCTGAAGAAAGTTATAGCCATAAGTAAAATCGCTGTTCATGCGCTGCCTGCAGCTCTGTCGGCAGCGCTGCCCGCAGCTGTTGTTGTTGTTGCTGCTTTGGTTCAAATTTGTGCTGCATACATACACGCATATAAACACGCATGTAAATGTATGATGCTTAAACTGAACATAAGCATGTATTCTAATTTAATTTAATTAATTATTTTAATTAATTAATTCATTCATTTTTTTAATAATTTAATATTTTTTTAATTTTTCCTTTTTGTGGAGAGTACAGGCTATTTTACTGTCGGGCTTGCTCGACTGTAGCGTTCTATCTTGTTTTTTTTTTAATAATTTTTTATATTTTCTATAATTATTGTAAACATATGTACAGAGTATTTCAAAGTCGGGACACCCGACTTTAGCTTTTTTACTTTTTTTATTCTCTTACTTTTTTAAATTTCTATAATTATTCTAAACATATGTACAGAGTATTTCAAAGTCGGAACACCCGACTTTAGCTTTTTTACTTGTTTTTTGGTGGGTTCTTGATTACTTCGGGTATCTCCTCAATATGGATTGGCTTAATGGGAAGGGACATCTGCAGGGCTGCCTGTAGGCTGTCATGGGTATCGCTGAACTCCGCTTAAGTCGACGAAAGCTAATCCAACCGAGTTGGTAAAACCTTCTCCAACTCCGCTGATTTTAGTGACTATGCTGCGATTCACATCATCAAAACTATCCGATTGTTCTTTTAAAATCGATAGTGCGAATCTTGGGATTCACTGGATTGAAACAGTCAGTCGTGTACTGAAACCACCTGGCGGTGGACATACAAATATATTCTCTGAGCGCGAAGTCGCAGTGAATGCACCACGTCCCAAATACAATCAACAGAATTCTTCTAATTTGAATGCCTGCATGGGCTCCACTGACCCCAACAAAGTGGTGGAAAAGTTGCGAGAAGATATTAACATCCAAAAGGAAGAGGTCAAATCCAAGCCGCCCAGTCAACAGAACAAAGACAACGGCAGTGACAACAAGTCGACGAATGCCAGCGAACCATCTCGTGGTCGAGTGCCTCCTGGTGGTTACTCATCCGGTGGCTTCTGGTGGTCTGGTTTAACATATAGCCACCGCATATTTAAATATTTACATTTATTACATAAAGCGCTTGAAACATGACATACATACATACATACATAACAACATTCACACCTACTTTTAAATTGGCTATGCTCATTTTTATTGTTGTCTAACTTTCTGGCGCCGCGTTTTGTATTTTGCGTCCATATAATTGTTTCGTTTGCTTTTCTCGTTCAAAAATTGAATAAAATCACATCGATGTAATCATAATAAGTAACATACATACATACATTCGCATTAATATTTCCAGCTAGAATATGCATTTCTACTTAAAGTGCCCAAATGAGAAATTGTAACTGTCTTAAAAGTTTTACCAAAATGACTTTTACCGAATACACCCATTAACTATTCCAAAATTAAATATAAAACACTTAGAGGGTCTGGCCGGTTTGCCGGGTAACCTTGTGCAACTTGTATATTGTTATTTCTGCCATTATTACTATTTCCTCGATAGCCATTATGGTAGTTCCAACCACCGCTATAGTTATTTACACCGCAATAGGTGTTACCACCTCTGGCTCTCTGTTTGCAATTTAAACGTCTGCCTCCACTAGCATGGGCAAAAGCCTCCGCGATATCTGTCTATTTTCTGGTTTTTGTAATATACAATTGTATAAGTTCGTCCAGTTGCATCAGTGCAACTATTGACGAACTTGGAAATGGCCCCATTCATATTGTTGAATTGGCCAGCCAATGGAACAATACTTTATCATTGATTTCACACCATGCTGAGTGCTATATTTGGTGGCTAGCTCCAATAAAAGTCCATCGTTTATGAATGCACTCCCCTAGAGACTTTGTCAGTTTTTCTACCTCTTGGGTATACTGATTAGCCGTCTGTTGAAGGTTCAGCAGTTTGGCTGTAATAACCTTAACTGAGTCACCTTTTACAGTGGCAGACAGTTTGCAAACAATATCTGCAATTTAGTTTGCACTGCTAAAATGCGTGCGTTGCCTTTAAACTCTGTTTTTATCAATTGGACTGCCGTTGACTTGTGTGTGTGAGTCCACCAACAGCAACGCGTCCAAGAAGCTTCTTAAATTTTTGCCATCAAACTCTGGTATCAGAGATGACGCTGTCTTTAAGAACTGTATCTGCGTTTGTGCCATATTGGGCAATCTTGCAGTGTTTTGCACTTTCGTTAAGCTATCAGCCGTTACATTTCCTACGGGTCGGTAGTAAATTCTCTTATTAAATCCTCTTCTGAAACTTTTCTTGTATGCCGAATTTGGCGATTTAGGTGTGCGGCTGACTGATTTTATTTCTTCCTCATCAACCGCTATATATATATATATATATATATATATATATATATCTGCGCTATTTATGATATGTCTTTCTTTTACTGTTCTCTTAAACGTTTAACAACGTCCGAAGCTTGAGTCCAATGGAGATCCGTAAGCCTAGATTTATTTTCTAGGAATATCTCTCGGATCTCGTTATAATGTTGCACTTATTTAATGGTGTGCCTATTTAATGTACCTGTCTGTATTGATATATTTTGGGTGAGGCTTTTGCATTTACCCTCCCGCATATAGCATTCCAATCATGTATTATGGAGAATTTAGATGCTCCGCAGGGGTCATATTCTATTTAATTTCTATACTTTTCCAAATGGTTTGCATATCCTTTTTTTCAAATGTTAATATTTTACTGTATCCATTTTGTTTCCAATTCTTCATGCTATGTTCTAGTTTATCATAAAATAGATTAAAGTGAAATTTCTTATGTTTACATTTATTACACCAGTACTAAAAGGGTATATTAGTTTTGTGCGAGTGTACATGTAACACACAGACAAATAAAAAATATTTTTTTAGATATTTAAAAAAAAGTATATTAATTAAATTAAAGACATGTTCATGTACTGTTTCAACAGCATACATTTACATCAGAATTGTGTCTGCGTGTTTATATGCGTGTATGTATGCAGCACCAAGTTGAACCAAAGCAGCACAAAAACAACAGCAACAGCTGCGGGCAGCGCATGAGCAGCGATTTTATTTATGGCTATAATTTTCTTCAGAATTTATCATGATGATGATTGGCATACATAATCACTAACGGGATGTAGTTACCAAATTTTAGTTCGAAACTCCAAGAACTACGGGAGTTATGGAAAAAAAACGAATTGCGGGGGAGTGGGGGGGTGTATCAGAATAAAAAAATTAACTTGACCTGCCTAGGGCTTATGGGAATCCGGATACCGAGTTTGGTTATTCTAGCTCTTTTACCTTCTGAGATCCTTGCGTTCATACAGACGGACGGGCGGACGGGCGGACGTGAAGTGGGGGGGGATTTAAAAAAATAAAACAAACTTGCACAGCGTACACACATAAGGCATCTTTGTGCAAAATATAGCTCTTATAGCCTCTGAGATCCAGGTGTTTATACGAACAGACAACAGACAGACAAAAAATTAAGTAAACTAAAATAAAAAATTTGGATCTATTTCCTCTCTCGGTATTCGAACTCACGTAAAGGGTGTATAATTGAACATATACAAAGTTATGTGAGTGTATGAATGCCAATGCGCATCTATTCGTGTCTGTGTAAACATGTTTGCAGTCAACCAAACGGCAACATTAACAACAGCTGCGGGCAGCGCTTGAGCAGCAAATATATTTATACCTATAACTTCTTGCTAAATCGGTCTTTCATAGTGAAACTTGGCATACGGACACATAATAGCTAACTGAGGGTATTTGCAAAATGAGTTCGAAATTCCTAGAATTACCGGAGTTACGATTTGCGGGAGAGAGGGGGAAGGGAGGAAAATTCCAAAATACATTTTCTGCGTATTCACATAAGGCATTTTGGTGTTCCTAGGTGTTATAGTCTCTGAGATATAGGCGATTATACGAATGTAAAATCGGGAAAACCCCCATAGGTGGAAGTGGGGGAACATCAAAAAAAAAATAACACAAATTCGTATAGCGTACACACATAACGCATCTTTGTGCAAAACTTGGTGTCTCTATCTCTTATAGTCTCTGAAATCCAGGTGTTCAAACGTACGGACAGACAGGGCTAGATCGACTCGTCTTGTCACGCTAATCAAGAATATATATGTAGAGATCTTTAGTGAGTTCCCTACGAGTGAGTAAAAATGTGATCCAGAAACTCCGTTAATAATAAGTACACCACACGTCGTCGTTTTAATTAATGGAGTACAATATTTATTAATGTGCAAATTAATTCAAATTAAATTAAAGTTTATTCATAACTTGTTCACAACGTCTGCTCGCTTCCGAAGTCAAACTCTTACTGCTAAAACGATATACTTTCTTAGACTACCCTGAACTTACCACCCCGATAGTCCGATGATTATCTGCTGGTTCAAGAGCTGCCATCCCTACATTCCGCCGTCCTGATTCATTATTCGACCCGAATGATGGAGACCACATTTTGATATACTCTGCCAGCGTATTGGTCTTTAATGGCCCTTCCCCATCGCCCACTTTCTCAACAATGTACCGGCCATGTCTTAGTTTGCGCGTCACAACATAAGGACCCAAAAATTTTCCTTTCAGTTTCAATCCGGCGCCAAATTGGGTACGCTTAATAGCTACCATATCATTGACTTGGTACTCTTTTTCTTGAATGACTTGCGATTTTCATCTTGTATTTGCGCTATGTTTTCTTTAGCTGTCCTGCGAATATCTTCTTTCTCCTGCTGCAACTCCAAAATATGCTCTTCCTCTACAAGCTTTTCTAAATCACTGTCATACTTGGTTCTAATTTGTATGCCTGTCAGAATCTTAAATGGAGAGATCTTAGTACTTCTCGAAGGAGTGGAATTTATAAACGATTGTACCCTACCTACATGTTTGTACCAGGCTTTCGGATCCTCTACGCAAAGTTTGGTTAACATAGTAGTACCCACCCTATTAATACGCTCCACCTGTCCATGACCACGCGGCACTCCTGTGGCTATCAGCAAATGTTGGATACTCTGTTCCTTACAATATTCTTCAAACACGTTTGCAGTAAATGCAGTACCTCTATCTGTGATCACGCGCTTTGGGTTTCCAAACAATTCACCCTGCTTTTGCAACTTGTCATCCACCTCATCGGAGCCCGTACTCTTTGTTGGATAAAGCCAAACAAATTTAGAAAAAGCGTCGAAAACTACTAAAACGTGGTTATATTGTTTCTTAGTCAACTCCTTTGGTCCAATATGGTCAATATGATACGTTTGCAAAGGCTCATCAGATTTGTCGATTACACTCAAAAACCCTTCCTTCTTCCCAAATTTCGCGTCGCTCACAATGCACTCTACACAATACCTTACAATCCTTTCTGCTTTCCTTAACAACTCTGGAATAAAGTATTCTCGCTGCACTAAATCGGTGGTTCTTTTAACACCAAAATGCCCTTAACGATGAGCTGTCATTATGATTTCGTTTTCCATCCTGGTTGGTATTACAATAAATTCCTTAACTGGGTCCTTGTGCAAGATTTCATACTTCAAATAAAAGTCGTCGTAAGTACCGGACTCTAACACTTTACAAATTGCTGCTATCCACTCATCCTGACGCTGAGCTTTATTCGGTGTCTTAGTGAATCTGCCAACAATAAACAATGCACTCTACTCAATGCATCGACGTGTTTCATTTTTGTCCCTGAACGATGCTCAATTTCATAATCGAAGTCATGCAGAAATATGGCCCAACGAGATACCTTTACTGGAACATCTTGCTTCTTCATCGTTAACGCAAAAGCATTACAGTCGGTAACGATCTTTATCTTTCTACCAAGCAAATAAACTCTCCATTTCTTTAGAGCCTGTACTATAGCGAGTACTTCAAGCTCGTATGAAGGATACTTTCATCAGCTGGAGTTCTCTTACGACTCATATATTCCACCGGGTGGAGACTTTGGTCTTCTGAGTCCTTTTGTAAGAGTATGGCACCATACCCATACATACTTGCATCGCAATGAACTTCTGTATAGCCCTTCTGATCAAACAGTTTTAAAACAGGGGAACAGGATAAATAAACTTTCAACTGATTGAACGCTGCTAGCTCTTCGTCGC